CTTCTTTCCTCTGCCTCCCATTTTCAGAAACTTAGCACCTAAACTTTTTATTTTATATTTGTTCACTGCTAGAATTTAGACTGTGATATGTTGAGCCAATGGCCTACCTTTTCTGCTTAAATGACTTGAAAATTATGTTATAAAATGTATTATTGTTATTTCTAATACTATATCCTGCAGTACTTAAGAGATACTTACTGCTTGAAAGTGCGACCAATGCCCTCACCGGCCTTCCAGCCCATGCCCTTCAGCATGGCAATACCATAGGCTTCCACTGGTACCTCTTCATAATCTGCTGCAGTTGACTACCAAATAAAGTGAGAATAGAAAAGGCATTAAGCCCTCTTTGCCAGAAGCTCCAAAGGTCGAACCTGGTGAATCCATCCCAACACCTACCGATTCTGGGCGGAGGCTGACATCCACTTTTTCTCCATCCTCAAAGCCATCAGGCACTTTGTTCTGCATGAGAAGGGGAATAGCAAATGTGGGATCTGGCTTGGTGCCACTCTCCCATTGCTCTTGTGACTTCTTGGATTCTAAATATGAAGATGAGTGAGACAAAGTGTAAGCTAAAGTTGTCAGATTGGCAACAAATACGAAACCATTCATATTCACAGTACTGTTGAGGCCTCCACACCCAACCAAATTAGTCCACTTGGCCTTTTGTAATATGGTTAATTGAAAAGTGAAACAATAATTATATCCCTGCACTTGCTCTCAAGAAAGGAAAATGGTGCAAATTTTAACTAAGAGGTACAGTCAGGCAGTACTCACCTTCTATAAGCTCTCGGATTGCTTGCGCCTCATCACCATTGATGGCATCTGCCTCCGGAAGGGGTGCTGGCTTTTTCCACTGGTTCTTCTGGATGAGAGGAATGACAAGCTCTTTTGGCTGTGGGGCTGGCCGGACACTTCAGAGGAAAAAACATGCACCCATTTAGAACCACAGACAGTGTAACTCTACCTGCCTAAAGAAACCAACTGCAAAGAAAACAAGAAGCACCCCAGTGTCCACATGCAATTATTTCATGCTGAATTGGAGAAGAATTGGTTTTTTTTAAAATCCCACTTTTCTCTCAGAGGATGTAGGATAGTTACACTGAACTAAAGAAACCTGAAACCAACCTGAAACCAAGCAAATGGAGGCAGCAGATTCATAGTATATGGCCAAACCGGAGACTCTCTCTGCAAATGTGGTTGGATCACAACTCTCATTAGTCCTACCTAACATGATTGATACTGTGTACTAAATGCAGTCTCTGAGTAACAGACATCCAACTTACAAATGATTCACAGTTAAGAAAGGGGGTGAGACAACAGGAAGTGAGGGAAATCTACCCCTCAGAAGGGAAATTCACTTCGGTAAGAGTTATCATGGGAGAAAGAGCTTTTTCTCCAATATCTGTTTCCATAACAAGCCAATTTTTCCAAAATCTAGTTACCACAGGGTCAGAAAGTGAAGTGAAATCTTCTTAACAGGGGCATAGACAGCCAAACAACCACCACAGGGGTCTTAACCCTTCCCCATGCTATTTAAAGCATGTGTATTTGTGTGCACGCATGTATATGCATGTGCGCGCGCACACAAACATACTGTATACATATTTGGCTGGCGTTACAGTTCTGTTTGAGCTTACATACAAATTCAACTTATGAACAACCCTACAGAACCTATCATGTCTGTAACTAAGGGACTACCTGTATAGCATCAGATACTCTATAGCAGGGGTCCTCAAACTTTTTAAACAGAGGGCCCGGTCACAGTCCCTCAAACTGTTGGAGGGTCGGATTATAATTTGAAAAAAAACAAAACCATGAATGAATTCCTATGCACACTGCACATATCTTACTTGTAGTGCAAAAAACACTTAAAATAATACAATAATTAAAATGATGAATAATTAAAAATATATAAACAATAGTATTTCAAGTGTGGGCCTGCTTTTGGCTGATGAGATAGGGTTGTTGTTGTTGTTGTGTGTTTTCAAGTCGTTTCAGACTTATGTCAACTCTGAGCGAGAGCTGGGTAAATGACCTTGGAGGGCCGTATCTGGCCTCTGGGCCTTAGTTTGGGAACCCCTGCTCTACAGTATCACAAATATACACAATTGGCACTAGATAAGCCAGCTAACAAATGCAGTGAGCCTTCCTTCTTTAGAGGCCTTTAAACTGATGTCAGGTGGGCACCTTTCAAAAGTGCTTCAGTTATGTATTGAGTGCTGCACCTTCCATGCTTAGGATTCTATGATTCTAAGAATTTGTCATCTTGATCCAGATCTCTAGTAATAGACAAATGTGTACCAATGAATAGTGTGTACTTAGCAAGTAAACTGTACTTCATGTTATAATACATTTGTTAGCCGAAAGCAATGGTATTCCTCATAGTCACCTACGGATGTGAGAGCTGGACCATAAGGAAGGCTGAGTTAAGAAGATAGATGCTTTTGAACTGTGGTGCTGGAGGAAAGTGTTGAGCGTGCCTTGGACTCCTGCTGTGCTTTTCAGTGTTTTTATGAGTGATGGTCACTTGTTGGCCTGATAGGTGTATTGTGTCCAAATTTGGTGTCAATTTGTCCAGTGGTTTTTGAGTTATGTTAATCCCACAAATGAACATTACATTTTTATTTATATAGATATACCCAGGGCCACATAAAGGTTTGTTGGCCGGAAAGGATTCTCCAATGGAGTCCATCCTCCAGGAAATAAAGCCTGACTGCTCATTGGAGGGAAGGATAGTAGAGGCCAAGATGAAGTACTTTGGCCACATCATGAGAAGAAAGGAAAGCTTAGAGAAGACAATGATGCTGGGGAAAATGGAAGGAAAAAGGAAGAGGGGCTGACCAAGGGCAAGATGGATGGATGGGATCCTTGAAGTGACTGGATTGACCTTGAAGGAGCTGGGGGTGGTGACGGCCGACAGGGAGATCTGGCGTGGGCTGGTCCATGAAGTCATGCAGAGTCAGAAACGACTGAACGAATGAACAACAACAACAGCCGAAAGCTGTCAACAACAACAATCTGAACACTAGCAAGTCTCTAAAGAGTGTAATTTTGATAGAGCCAGCCTGCCTCATTGTAACACGATTTCTGTTCCTAGGTTATCAATGTAATTTCCTAATTGGGTCTATCATAAAAACATGGAAAAGATTATTAAACTGCAAAGACCTTTCATCCTGCAGCACATTTGCTCTAGTTTTTCAATGAACATCTCAATAGAGGATCGACCAATCTATATATATAAAAATGCTCAGTGCGTAATGAGTACCTTAAAAACAAAAGAACCAATGAACAAAATCACACCAAATTTGGCAACAAAATGTCTCACAACACAAGGAGTGAACATCACTCAAAAATTACGATTTTGTCATTTGGGAGTTGTAGTTGCTGGGATTTATAATTCACCTACAATCAAAGAGCATTCTGAACTCCATCAGTGATGGAATTGAACCAGACTTGGCACACAGAACCCCCATGACCAACAGAAAATACTAGAAGGGTTTAGGTGGCATTGACCTTGAGTTTGGGAGTTGTAATTCACCTAATCCAGAGAGCACTGTGGACTCAAACTATGATGGATCTGGACCAAACTTGGCACAGATATTGAATATGAACAAATATGAACACAAGTAGAGTTTGGGGAAAATAGACCTTGACATTTGGGAGTTGTAGTTACTTGGATTTACAGTTCACCTACAATCAAAGAGCACTCTGAACAACATCAATGGTGGAATTGAACCAAACTTCGCACACTGAACTCCCATGACCAACAGAAAATATTGGAAGGGTTTGGTGGGTATTGACCTTGAGTTTGGGAGTTGTAGTTCACCTACATCCAGAGAGCACTTTGGACTCAAACATTGGATCTGGACCAAACTTGGCACAAGCACTCAATACACCCAAATATGAACACAGATGGAGTTTGGGGAAAATAGACCTTGACATTTGGGAGTTGTAGTCACTGGGATTCACAGTTCACCTACAATCAAAGAGCATTCTGAACCCATGAACGACAGAATTGGGGCAACCTTCCCACACAGAACCCCCATGACCAACAGAAAATACTTAAGGCAATCCAATCCAACTCCCTTCCTCAGGGCAAGAAAACGTAATCAAAGTCCTCCTGACAAAGAGCAATTCAGCCATAGGTACAGATAGATAGATATGATTCACACACACATATATAGTATCATAGATTTAAAAGGGACCCTTAAAGAAGGACAATGATATCTTGCATGTTCCAGGGTGGGCAAACCACACACTCTCCACATCAACACTGATAAAGAAACAGCAACAAAAATACTGTTTACCCACAAGCATAAAGACATTACATATATTAGAAACCAACACTTTCTCATTACTTTATTTTCCAGATCAACAGAGTGGGCCACAGCAACGCGTGGCAGGGGACAGCTAGTCCCACATAGTTTACGTCAGCCACAAAAACGAAGTTTCTGGAGTAGAACAACTACCTTCAAAGTAAGTGCCGCACATTTAAACATGGAAATAACACTGCCAAATCGTAGAATTTAACAACATTGAAACGTGGCAGTTAAAGCGGTGTGAAAGTGCACTCATTCCACAATGTAGCTGGGCCTTGAGAGGCGCCCCCTGCTCCTAGGCCCAAGCGGGTCGAGGGCAGGAAGCCGGCCTACCTTTGCAACTCCCGGCCCTCGACGGCTGAGAGGAAGTCGGGCTCCTGTTTCGCCTCGCCGCCATCCTGCCCGGTCACCACCAAAAACCGCCTCCGCCCTGTGGTCCGAGTGAAGCCGAAAGACACCGGGGCCGGCGGAGTGGCCGCTGACTTCTCTGCTCCCTCCGCCATCTTATTTTCCCCTGCCTTGCCCCGCCCCCATCGCCACTTACGTCGTTGCGTTGCATCATGGGAGACGAAGTTTTAGGGACTCCCGCTTCTTTATCGAGGTTCTGAAACAGAGGCACCTGATGACGACAACTCCCAGGATGCAATGCGGCAACAGCACTTCCTTCCAGAGCCGGCCGCGCATAAGTCATGTTGCGCATGCGCGGCTTCTCTTCCACGCTTTTCTCTGCTCTCTGAAGAAAACAATCGAGCACTGTCTGAATTTACACTGGTAATTATTGAGACCTTTGCTTTTCTTATTCGGATGCAGGTTTATAAAGAGAACATCGTTTATGGATGTCTCCACTGAATAGCCCATTCCCTTCCGTTGTCCCAGTTTGTCAGGAAAAATCCTGATTAATTTTTTCAGATGCTTTTAAGGCCCTTACTATACTGTCACATAATCCAGATTATCAAAGAAGATAATCCACGTTATCTGCTTTGAACTGGATTATAGGAGTCTACACTGCCATATAATCCAGTTCAAAGCAGATTATCTGGATTTTCTATGACAGTGTAGAAGGGGCCGTATAACTCAGAATATAAAGGCAGATAATTGACATCTGCTTTGAAGTGGGTTATCTGAGTCCACACTGCCATATAATCCAGTTCAAAGCAGGTAATGTGGGATATTATACAGCTGTGTGGAAGGGGCCTCAATCTGTTTGATTAGGGTCTCAGTTTCTTCCTGGAATGGGTGAAAACTATACAGTATAAGTATCAGTTGTCTTGTTTCAAAATTGTCTTGTTTCCTAATTAATTATCTGTCCTCCCACTTTTTCAGAGGATTTTAAGGCCCCTACTACAGTCACATAATCCAGATTATCAAAGAAGATAATCCACGTTATCTGCTTTGAACTGGATTATATGAGTCTACACTGCCCATATCATCCAGTTCAAAGCAGATAATCTGGATTCTCTATGGCAGTGTAGAAGGGGCCTAGGGCCCTTAGACATGACCGTATAACCCAGAATTTCAAGGCAGATAATTTGCATCTGCTTTGAAGTGGATTATCAGAGTCCACACTGCCATATAATTCAGTTCAAAGCAGGTAATGTGGGACTTTATACAGCTGTGTGGAAGGGGCCTTAGCCAGTTGTCAGAGAGGTTAGGAACCTTTGTCTAGAAACAAGTTTCCATTCCTATAGTGTGAGGGTTGATAGGCTGTCTGCAGATAACTGGGAACCAGATAAGCATTCAGTTTGAGCTTTGTTTACATTCTTAATGTAAGGTGGAGTGTGCCCAAAATAATCAGAATGGGTTTGTCAAGGGAAATTCAAGGCGTTATCTATTGTTTTTCTAGCCAGAGGAAGCAGATTCTCCTATTTATAATTTTTATACTATTTATACTACAATATTTTTAAGAATCAACTGAATCAGCTGTGGTCTCATTTTTTCTGCAAATTTAAAATAGCCTCTGATGCTTCTCTTAACTTTCAGCACTAGTCTATGACTTTGCACCTTTCCAGGCCTTTAAAAAAGTGTTTGCAGGTTCTCCGCTGCGTTGTTTAGGTCAATCATGTAGTAATCAGATATGCTTTCAACAATTACAATAATTCTGGGCACCAATATTATTTAAGAGGAATATGGACAAACTGAAACATGTCCACAGGACGATGACTAAAATGATCAAAGATCTGGAAATCATGAGTCCCTATGAGGAGCAGTCTAAAGAGCTGGGTCTTTTTTACCTACATAAAAGAAGGTTGAGGAGAGACATGATAGCCATGTATAAATATGTGAAAAGATGTCATAAGGAAGAGGGAGGAGGCTTCTTTTCTGCTGCCCTGGAGACTAGGACTTGGAACAATGGGTTCAAATTACAGAAAAGGAAATTCTACCTGAACATTAGGAAGAACTTCCTGATTATAAGAGCTGTTCAGCAGTGGAACTCTGCCTCCAAATGTGGTGGAAGCTTCTTCCTTGGCAGCTTTTAAACAGAGGCTGGATGACCATCTGCTGGGAGTGCTCTGATTGTGCATGGCAAGGGGTGGACTGGATGACCCACATGGACTCTTCAGCTTTATTATTCCTTGAATCATCTTCACTTTTAACCAATATGGATGCCTTCATTTCATTGATTGTAATAAGCCAATGCTGCTGCTCAATTCATAATTCTTGTTGACATAGTAGTCAAACAGTTAATTGTTTTTCTTTTCTCTCACATCCAGGACATTTCTTGTAAGGGAAGATGGGACGTTCCTCTAAGGACAAACGGGACATTTACTACCGCTTGGCCAAGGAGGAAGGCTGGCGAGCCCGCAGTGCCTTCAAACTTCTCCAACTGGATGAAGAATATCATTTGTTTCAAGGTGAGCCCCATCATACAATTGGAGTTCATCTATCCAGAATGTGTGGGGTGAAACATTTCAGTTGTGCATGGGAGTGGTACAATCTTGCAGACGTTCTTGTACTGCAACTCTGATCAATCCTAGCCATCTTAGCCAAGGAGGACTTTTATCTGGTAGGATAAAAGTGATGGGAAGCTAAGCTGCAAGAAATAATCAGATTTACTCTGCCGAATGGCTGTCAGTTTTGGCCCTCCATGTTTGGGACATCAACTTCTAGATTTCCTGAACTGAAATATCTGGAGGATCTGAGTTTGAGAATCACTGATCTAGACTTCCTAAACTGTGGGTCCCAACCCCAAATGAGATCTCCTTTAGCTCAATATTGGGATCACACAAAAAATTGGCAAAAGGTTTCTGAATGCCACCCATTTACACAAATTTGCATTGTTTACAGTGGACTGTGCAGAAATCACTTTAGTTGTCTTTCATAAAAAGGAAAGTGAGACTGTTTAGCAAGCCCTGCACATTCTAATTTGTTATCAGTACATTTTTGGTTTTTATACCTATTTATATACCTGCTAGCTGTCCCTTGCCATGCGTTGCTGTGGTCCAGTCTGTATATATGTTCTTTGTGTGTGTATGTGTTTGCGTATATATGTGTGGTTTTGCACATGCGTTGTAATTTTTTTTTTTGCTTTAAGTCTCTTCTGCTGTGTTTTTCAGTGTTTTTATGAGTGATGGTCACTTGTTGGCCTGATAGGTGTATTGTATCCAAATTTGGTGTCAATTTGTCCAGTGGTTTTTGAGTTATGTTAATCCCACAAACGAACATTACATTTTTATTAATATAGCTATACCCAGGGCCACATAAAAGTTTGTTGGCTGGAAAGGATTCTCCAATGGAAAAAAAGTTTAAGAAGCCCTGATCTAGACCAGGGCTTCTTAAACTTTTCCATTCTCAACCATTTCCACATATTTTCCTTTTTATGAAATGCTGCTGAAACATCTTCTGCAGCATCCACTGTAAACACTGCACAGATTCACGTAAATGTCTAAAAGTGGCTTTAGGTGGCGTTTAGAAAACTTTCAATGTAGCCAATTTTTGTGACCCTAACATTGAGCTAAGGAGGCCCCACAGTTTAAGACAGTGGTTCTCAACCAGTGGTTCCCCAGATGTTTGGCCTTCAACTGCCAGAAAGCCTAACAGCTGTTAAACTGACTGGGATTTCTGGGAGTTGTAGGACAAAACACCTGGAGGACCACTGGTTTAAGAAGCAGTGATCATCAGTGGAGTGGTGAATTCACTCCAGGATTTAATTCAGGTTTTTGAGATGCAATCAAATGTTCTGAACCCTATTCCAATATATATTCAGCAGCTTGGAGAGTTCTTTGTTCCTCATTTGATGTGGAACACAACAGCTGTCACTGGAACAGGCTAATTCTTTCTCTTTATCGTTTGGAACATTTATCTCCCAATCTTAGCTGAGGATTTTGATTTTGATTGCCAAGCTTGGCAAGAGAAGACTTCCTTTGAGCATATACAGAATACTGTTTGTTTGCCATGGAGATAATATTTTGGGGCAAAGAAGCAAGGCTGTCATTTGAGAATTTGAGCAAACTTGGAAACCTTCCTTTTTTCCCTACTATCTTTTTGTCAGGAAAGGAACCCAGGAGTTGTACTTCCTAGTCTCATGTTGCAGTCTTCTTGCCATGGCATCCCCTTACCTTTCTTATTCCCTGGTTTTTTTTCTATAGGTGTCTCAAGGGCTGTGGATCTTTGTGCTGCTCCTGGGAGCTGGAGCCAAGTTTTGAGCCGAAAACTGAAGTAAGCAAGTCACTTAGTTGTAGTGTTTATGGGGGACTGCCACCTTATAGGAGATAACCAGAAATTAATCCTCAACACCCCGCCCCCCTTTTTTTTTCTACAGAGGAGAAGGTGCTAAAAATGCAGATGTCAAAATAGTGGCTGTAGATTTGCAAGCCATGGCTCCCTTGTCTGGAGTTATTCAAATTCAGGGGGACATTACCAAGGTATTGTGTTTCCAACCCAATTCAAAATCCACCCTACTTCTCTTGAATTTAAGGCCTACTTAATAGCAACCCTTTGGCCATTATAACCCACCCCATCACTTCTCTCCCTCTGCTTCCAGGTCTCTACAGCAGAAGAGATAATCCATCATTTTGAAGGGCAACCTGCTGACTTGGTGGTGTGTGATGGAGCTCCTGATGGTAGGTAGAAATCACAGTCATAATCTTACTGTTTCTACTTTTCCCAGGATTGTGCACCATTGGCCAGGGTGAATCTGCCATCTCCAAACAGGGTGCAGTCAGCCCTCCACATTCTCTGGGCTTAAAGGCACAGCACCCCATAAATGTAAAATAACACACATGAAAAATTGTTGCTTTTATTAGCTGAGAAAACATGTCTCTAGGAATTTCTACATCTTTCTGCATGGGTCTTGGCTCAACATCTGCTAGAAACTGACCATAGGATTGCACCGGAAAGCCAAGAGACCCTAGAGAAGTGTTCTTTTACTTGTTCTTCAGCGTGACTTTATGGCCTGGAGGAAGTTGACCATAGAATCACACTGGAGGACCTGGAGATTTCTAGAGAGATTTTAATGAAATCTATAAATCAAATCCACAAAAGTCAAACCCACAAATGTGGAGCACTGACTATATTTCTCCAGTACCTTACTTCTTTCATGGCTTGTCTGGTCCTGTCATAATTGCTTATGCTTGTGTACTGCAGCCACATGCTCAGTCCACCTGGGGCTTATTATTTATTTACTATATTTCTATACCGCCCTTCTCAGCCCAAGGGCAACTCAGGGTGCTTTACAAAACCGACACAATTAGATGCCACAATAATATAAACAGTTAAAAGCATATAAACATTCATAAAATTCCATAAACAATAAAATCAATGAAACATAAATCCTCCGTATCTAATTTCCAGAATCTTTAGCCGATTGCAATTGTCCAGTTAGCTTTACCAAAAGTGAGGAATAGCTTCCAATATTTGTTTTGATGTATGTATCCTTTGCTGTTCCAGTGACAGGGCTGCATGACATTGATGAATACATTCAGGCCCAGCTGCTGCTTGCCGTGAGTATTTCCATTTGTTCCTCCCTCTCTCCCATGAGTGATACTCAAACCCAGCCCCATTGGATGTAGCAGTTGCTTTATATTATGGAATACATTTCCTTTAAAGGGAAGCTGCCTAGATGGCAGGGAGTCTATCAGATACACAGAGCTTAGGAAACTTACCTTTTGGAGACTAATTCCTAGACTCCCTCAGGAATCATGGCTAGCAGTCTGGTAGATGGGAAGTTCTGGGCATTGAAGTCCTCCAAAACACATTTTTCTGAATTTTTAAATCTGGGAACTCTACACTGGAAAAATCCAGCTCTAGACTTTGGAGGGACCTTATCAAGCTGCCTGTGATCAGTGCCACCTGTCCTTCCCAACATTGGCGTGCCAGTTTCCTGCCTATCTATCTATCTATCTATCTATCTATCTATCTATCTATCTATCTATCTATCTATCTATCCATCTATCCATCCATCCATCCATCCATCCATCCATCCATCCATCCATCCATCTATCTATCTATTTATCTATCCCATTTTTCTCCTGGGTGGGACCTAAGGCAGTTCACAACATTAATCAAAAGAAGACACATGGATTAAAACCTAATAATAAGCAAAGATCACATTAGAGGCTGAGAGTGTAAAGTTGTAACATCAGCTTTTGTAGACAAAGTCTCCTTCCTTAATTGCACTCAGGGAAGCAGACTGTGTCTGTGAAAGCATATGCTGCCAACGACATTTTCTTAGCTTAAGGTGCTACAAGATCCCTTTGTATACTAATATCCCATAGTGACATTAAATTAATAAAGTCATATACAAATAATGATGAGAACAATGAAAATTCAGCATGCATTTCACATTCTGCAGAGCTGCCAAAGGTTTGTTCGAATAACTGGTAGCAGAAATAATATAGATGGGGCCAGCTTGGCTTCCTGCAGCAGAATGTTATGTTAGCTTAGGGACTGCCAACAAGAAGATTATCTTCAATGTAGTAGTAGTAATAACAACAACAATAGTAACAATAATAATGATAATGAATTTCATTTGTTACTCACATCTCCTGAAGGTGGGGACTAGGGAAGTAAAAGAAAGCTTTTCCCAGAGAAAACAAGATAAAATTTCCCCCGAGAATCTTAAAAATTGAGCAGGTCACTTGCTGTCACATTGCCTTATCACATGGTACCAGCGTGAGATGGCAAATACAAGGATGGGAAGACACAGCCTCCTCCGTGGCTCTAGCAAATGTGTTTATTTTGTGCTGATATTGTTATGAGCCAGAAAGCAAGCAGCTAGCCAACTCTTGGCCCATAGCAGTGCTGCCACTGCTGCCAGATATGCCCACTTAATAAGTTAGTGGGCCCTCTTAGTCTGCATGGGCCATACAAACACTTCATTGTGCCAGGTGTCTAAATTGGGCTTGGGCTTAGCCATGACTACAAGATTTTTTTTTTTGCATCCTCTGATTCCCCAGGCCAGGAAGAGTGGCTTGAAGTGCCTCCAGGAACATTGTTGTTGTTGTTGTTCATTCGTTCAGTCGTCTCCGACTCTTCGTGACCTCATGGACCAGCCCACGCCAGAGCTCCCTGTCGGCCGCCACCACCCCCAGCTCCCTCAAGGTCAGTCCAGTCACTTCAAGGATGCCATCCATCCATCTTGCCCTTGGTCGGCCCCTCTTCCTTTTGCCTTCCACTTTCCCCAGCATAATTGTCTTCTCCAGGCTTTCCTGTCTCCTCATGATGTGGCCAAAGTACTTCAACCTTGTCTCTAGTATCTTTCCCTCCAGTGAGCAGTCGGGCTTTATCTCCTGGAGGATGGACTGGTTGGATCTTCTCGCAGTCCAAGGCACTCTCAGCACTTTCCTCCAACACCACAGCTCAAAAGCATCGATCTTCCTTCGCTCAGCCTTCCCTAAGGTCCAGGAACATTAGATGTAGGATAAATGTGAGTTCAGTGCCTGATTGATAGAACTCCTAGCCTCAAGGTGCCTGCTGGCATGTGACAAGAGCCATTGTGAAGCTTCAAGAGGTTGATATTCTACAAAATACTCAGCAAAAATATTCCACATCAATATCAGAATCTTACCTGTTTCAAGAATGTTTCAACACTGATAGGAATGGACACAGATTTTAACGGATGAAGGCAATCTCTTGTGAAGTCTCACAATATTTGCTTAACAGATAAACAAATGGCTGGTTTTGTCGACACGTAGCTAAATATGAGAGATTGGTGTAGTAGTTTGGGATTTGGGTCTCTGGTGGCATTAAAGCACTGAGCTGCTGAGCTTGTTGACAAAGGTCGCAGGTTCGATTCCGGGGATCGGCATGAGCTTCTGCTGTCAGCCCTAGCTTCTGCCAACCTAGCAGTTTGAAAACATGCAAATGTGAGTAGATCTATAGGTACCACTCTGGCAGGAAGGTAACGGCGCTCCATGTCACTTAATGTCACGGGAAAACCTTTACCTTAGTGAAGAATAGTATGAAGGCACACAAGAACAACACACAAACAATGTTATTTATGGATTGTAGAACTTTCTTGGTGCATGATATAGATTTTCCTGCTTATCTCACTTACTGTATGTATCAGATTCATTGCACCCCAAAAGATAGAAAATAAAGAAGCTGATAAGGCCATACTGCTAAATATTTAGTGTCTGACTCCACCAAGCTAGCCTACATTTCTTTTAAGGGGGTATGGTACTCGTGGCTATGTCCTCTGTGTAACTAACTGTAGAGTCTTCATATCAAATAAGTTTATCCATACATTTAATGTTTTCTTTTTAGGCCCTGAACATCACTACACATGTACTAAAAAAGGGAGGAGCTTTTGTGGCAAAGGTGAGTACTTCAGGGACTTAGAAAAGTATTATATAATATATTGTATATACATGTAATATATAATATTATAATGTAATACAATATAATACTAATAATAATAATATGATATTATAATTATATATTTTATATTACATGTAATATTACTAATAATAACGTAAATATCCGTTTATGAACCCATGCGATCACTTCGTTCATCCGGAGAGGCCCTGCTCGCGATCCCACCGGCGTCGCAGGCGCGTTTGGTGGGGACGAGGGACAGGGCCTTCTCTGTGGTTGCCCCCCGACTTTGGAACACCCTCCCCAAAGACATTAGACTAGCACCCACGTTGGCAGTCTTTAGGAAGAACTTGAAGACTTGGTTATGCCGATGTGCCTTCCCAGATTAGGATAACCTCCAGCACTATGTCCCAGAAGCACTTTATTAGAGTTTAAGACTGTCTGCACATTGCACTTGCCCAGAATTCCAACATACCACCTCTCACACCCAGCACTTTTTAACCTTTACCCATCATTGGCCCGGCCCTGGTTTTATTGCGTAATAGTGTAATGTTTTGTTGTATTATTGCTTATGTTTTTAATTTGCTTTGCATCGTATTGTTATTGTTTACTGTTGTTGTGTTGGGGCCTTGGCCTCTGTAAACCGCATCGAGTCCTTCGGGAGATGCTAGCGGGGTACAAATAAAGTTTAATAATAATAATAATTATAATAATAATAATAATATCACAGCATAATGTTATAGTACAATGTAATATATAATATTAATATTGTGCTATGTTAATAATATAATATATTTTATTTTCATTTTACTTGTAAGCCTCTTTGAGTCCCCTTTGGGGTGAGAAGGGCAGCATATAAATGGCGCAAATAAATAAATAAATAAATAAAAGTATGTTATTGTAAGCTCCACTAGCATTTGCATGTCTCTCTCTGGTGTCATACAGAAGGGAGAGCCGCTGAGATGGGGATGTTAAGCTGAGTAACCTGTGTGCCAGGGAAGGGGAGCTGCCTGGGCCCAGTGAGACAGAGTTGGCCTCATACATACCACTGTGATTGCTTTTGTATTCCCCAGTCTCTGTTTCTTTACCTGTTGCCTGGATGGTGATATTTTAATATGGGCATGCAGTGGTATTTTGATTTCCCGTCTCAGATTTTCCGAGGGAAGGATGTCACACTCCTCTATTCCCAGCTGCGGATTTTCTTCCCTGATGTTACATGTGCCAAACCCCGAAGCAGCCGTAACTCCAGCATTGGTGAGTTTCTCTTGGTGTTTTGTGATTTTGTTTTGCGTGACTCTGATTTGCAACTTGATGTTTCTTAATAATTTGGCCTAATGTGCACACACAGCTTATCCAGCAGAATTTCAGTTTTCGTCTCAAAAAACACAACACAAATATCAATTTATTATCTGTTTTTTTAAGCTAGGGTGGGGACAATCTTTAATTATTATTTGTTTTTAATTTAGATATTAAACGTTAAAGGATATAAATGAGCTAATACTTAAAGGGAATAACTAATAGATAGACAAAATCAGCAGGCAGGCAGTTGGAGTCTTGTAGAGTAGTTTAATAGTAACTGTAGTTGATATTTGTTTATAAGTGTATAGGTTATATGTTGATTAACTTCACAATTCAGCAGCAGATCAGTTGCACAACTTCAGCACTTTCCAGTAGCTTCTTCCTGCACAGTATTTTCAGTCAACTGCTTCCACAGCCTGCAGTCACTCTGGAACCTTTTACAGACACTTGAGCACATGCCCGGCCATTGTCAGTTTTACCATTGTCTTTCCCCCAGTCTAGATGATATTACAAACTTACCACAGCATACAGTTATATCTTGTCTTAGCAGACAGGTTCTTTTAATTACATATAGCCTTCGACAAACAACATCACAGCACAAGGAGAGATATACACTGTACATGACTTCCTTATATACAATTCTATACAATTACACATAGCAATCTCTGATTGGTTCCCAACTCATTAACTTAACTCAGACCCAGGATTACATCATTCACAATCACCTGGACTAGGCCAGAACACATTCCCCAAATGATTCCCTATATACAGTTAATGCATGACTCAGCATTTCCAATAGAAGCCCATTAGCAGTGCATGACTCAGCTATATTACATTACAATACATTGTAAAATCTGACAGTTGTAGATAGAGATGTATTGACTGTTGTAGTTTAGGTTTAGTTTCTAGTTTTTATGATGGCGGCTATTTACTTTGCTCTTTATGGTACTCTTTAATTTCTTCTTTTTGCCTTTTTTTGAAGCCTGTCCTCTTTTCTCTTTTTTTCTATATGTTTGAATAAAAATTGTTTTCAAAAAGACACAACACAAATATCCAAGCTTCTCTTTCTCATGATGTTAGGGGAGCTTGAAAGCTTGTGCATGGTCTTTAAAGACTCAGATGTAGAGAGGATGGGATTTGACTTGATCTCAGTTTTATCACATTGGTCTGTTAAAAGAAGCTTAGCATTGGTACACAGAGAGATGTAGATGCTGATCATGACATAGAGGACTGCACCAAATTGAGGGTGTATGTTATAGTGCAGGATGCCAGAACATTGGCCTCTAATGCTTGAACTTCTTTTCTGTCCCCCCAGAAGCGTTTGTCGTTTGCCGAAACTATAACCCACCGGAAGGCTATGTGCCAAACATGTCCAACCCACTGTTGGATCACTGTTATGGTAAGGAAACTTGAAGATGGAGAGGTGTTCCTCAGGATGATGCTGTGCTCTTGGATAATGAGCAAGGATGCTCAGTACTATTGATCAGTATTTAGCAAACCTGGACTTCAAGATGTTTTGCACTTCACCTCCCAGAATCCCTGATCATTGGCCAAGCCAACTGAGGTTTCTGGACGTTGAAGTGCAAAACACATTGAAGATTAGAGTTTGTGCATCACTGGTATAGATAATTTGCCTGCAGGGTAAAGAGGACAGAAGGAAATCAAGGAGGGGAAGACAAGTGTTGGGGGGATTCAGAGCAGTGGGGGCTGCGAATGACAGGGATCAGAACAAACTGTCATGTAAGCCAGTGGACTCCTTTTTAAGATTCTGATTTTCAGTAAAGATACATGAACTTTACTGGGGTGAAAATTGCTGGAAGAAACATTAACAACCTTAGATATGCAGATGACACCACTTGGATGGCCGAAAGCGAGGAGGAGCTGAGGAGCCTTCTAATCAAAATGAAAGAAGAAAGCGCAAAAGCTGGGTTGCAGTTAAACATATAAAAAACAAAATTATGGCAACAAGAATGATTGACAACTGAGAAATAGAGGAAGAAAAAGTGGAGGCAGTGACAGACTTTGTATTTCTAGGTGCAAAGATTACTGCAGACACAGACTGCAGCCAGGAAATCAGGAGACGCTTACTTCTTGGGAGGAGAGCAATGACCAATCTTGATGAAATAGTGAAGAGTAATTAAAGCAATGGTATTCCCTGTAGTAACCTAAGGATGTGAGAGCTGGACCATAGGGAAGGCTGAGCGAAGGAAGATAGATGCTTTTGAACAGTGGTGCTGGAGGAAAGTTCTGAGAGTGCCTTGGACCACCAGAAGATCCAACCACTCCATACTTCAAGAAATAAAGCCCGACTGCTCATTGGGGGGAAGGATAGTAGAGGCAAAGATGAAGTACTTTGGCCACATCAAGAGAAGAAAGGAAACTTTAGAGAAGAGAATGATGCTGGGAAAATGGAAGGAAAAAGGAAGAGGGGCCGACCAAGGGCAAGATGGATGGATGGCATCCTTAAAGTGACTGGATTGACCTTGAAGGAGCTGGGGGTGGTGACGGCAGACAGGGAGCTCTGACGTGGACTGGTCCATGAAGTCACGAAGAGTCGGAAACGACTGAACGAATGAACAACACATGAACACCCATTAGGGTGCTACAGCAATGAATTCTGCACACCTTGAAATGGGTGGGTTGGGTGAGGAAATGTTTTGAGATGTCTTCCAGTTTGAGACATTATGTTGCCCATTGTTGTTGGATGAAGTAGCAGTGTCTTGAGTTTCTCTTCTTGATCTATTTCTCTAGTTCTTAGGCTTCCATTCAGTGGGATAGTTAGCTCCTCCAGCATTAACTAACCTATCTATCTGAAATGCAAGTTTGCAACTGATTCTCTAAATATTTAAAAGACAATCGAGCAGAGAACAAACAGCCCCTGAAACCCTGAGGGAACCTCCTAGACTATACAGTACATGATGGACTGTAACAGTGTCTTGGGTAGCACATGTGATCTGGAGGAAGCATGGTTAATATCAAAGCCGCCACATGCTTTTTTTGAACAGAAAGGAGGAATAACTGATCCAGAAACCAAATTAATTTTCTTGCAGTTGTTGATCTTAAGAATAGGTTTATTTATTGAAAAATTAATTCTATAATCAGAGTTATTTCAGGTTACACAAAGACAGGAACAAAGAATCCTATGGTGCTTCATAGATCAGGAAATTTATTACAGCATAAGCCTTTGTGGTCTGGAGTAATGGGTAGAGCAGAGTGTTGCTTTTCACTGGCTTAGGTATAAAAGGGAAAATACATCAGAAAGGTCCGTTGGCAATGAAATACAGAAAGTACAGCTTGGAACAATTAAGTGAAATTGTGGGTTAAATAAGCACACTGACCATTCACAATCATTTTAGCTTTGTTATGTGAATTATTGCTTATACAAAAGTTCTTCAAAACATTTCCACACTTTTCTTAACTCTTTTAAGAATTTCAAAAACAAATTACATCACTTTTTTACATAGTCACCTTCCTTTGTGGTGCATTTTCCACAGCATTGTAATGCCATGAGCAAAAAAACAATGCTTTTGGTTGAGGGCTTTCACATTTAGCTCCTCTGTCAGTTATTTAGGCACACACTTTATTGACCTGTCAAGAATCATAGCATAGGCATATCCAACACTCACGTTCAGCTTCCCAACACATTTGACTGTTATTTCGTTTCCACAAATGGGTTCCAGAGTTTTTTCTTCTTTCCTCATGGTTGTGGCTGTGGTTGGACATCCAGAGCACTCTGCATCCATCACACTAGTATGGCCATTTTCAAATATTACAATCCACTCATCGACAACGCTTATGAGCGAGAACACATGTGGAGATGAATTTGTTCTCCTGGCACATGTTATTCCTCTTTGGTGTAATGTGTATATTTCCCAGTCATCTTCACTACAGGATGACAACTCGTATACTAAACTGCAAGGTCAGCCGAGTCACATAACACTCAGAAACAACCAGTGCCTACTCCTTCTGCCCTCAGTGCTCACAACAAAAATATAAAACTGCAAAAACTTTTTGCAGATCGTTGGTTGCAGGAGAACGCACTTAAAAGATCTCAGCCTTTTCTAAATGATGCAAACATTCGTGACAAAACCTAAGACAGAAGAGTTTTATCTTGATCGCTGGGTAAACAAGTACACCTGATACTGCTTTGTATACTTTGCCAAAGCTAAGTAGGAGGTATTGTCGAAGGCTTTCATGGCCAGAATCACTGGGTTGCTGTAAGTTTTTTTGGGCTATATGGCCATGGTCTAGAGGCATTCTCTCCTGACGTTTCGCCTGCATCTATGGCAAGCATCCTCAGAGGTAGTGAGGTCTGTTGGAACTAGGAAAAAGGGTTTATATATCCGTGGAATGACCAGGGTGGGACAAAGGACTCTTGTCTGCTGGAGCTAGGTGTGAATGTTTCAACTGACCACCTTGATTAGCATATAATGGCCTGGCAGTGCCTGGAGCAAACTTTTGTTGAGAGGTGATTAGATGTCCTTGTTTGCGAATCCCACCTCCTTCTAGATGAACTGAACCACCTCAACTGGGCTCCAGAGGCCAATGGATACTCCACCTCAGACATCAGAAGAGCTGCAAGACCGAGAACAAGCCACAAGAATAAAGACGAAGATCCACCCAGAGGAAAAGTGTTCTTGCCATACATGAAGGGAACCACCGACCACATTGGGAAGCTGATGAGGAAACACAGCATACAATCTATCTACAGACCCACAAAGAAAATCCAACAAATGCTACGTTCAGCAAAGGACAAGAGGGATCCTCTCACCTCTGCAGGAGTCTACCGTATTTCATGCAGCTGTGGACAAGTCTACATAGGGACCACCAAACGCAGCGTTGCCCAAACACGAATCAAGGAACATGAAAGGCATTGCAGACTACTTCAACCAGAGAAGTCAGCCATACCAGAGAACCTGATGAACCAACCTGGACACAGCATTTTATTGGAGAACACAAAAATGCTGGACCACTCTCACAACCACCATGTCAGACTACACAGAGAAGCCATTGAAATACACAAGCATGTGGACAATTTCAACAGAAAGGACGAAACCATGAAAATGAACAAAATCTGGCTACCAGTATTAAAAAAAACTCAAAAATTACAACAGCACAACAACAGAGAGGAAACAAACAAGGACAGCTAATCACCTCTCAACAAAAGTTTGCTCCAGGCACTGTCAGGCCATTATATGCTAATCAGGGTGGTCAGTTGAAACATTCACACCTAGATCCAGCAGACAAGAGTCCTTTGTCCCACCCTGGTCATTCCACTGATATATAAACCCTTTTCCCTAGTTCCAACAGACCTTACTACCTCTGAGGATGCTTGCCATAGATGCAGGCGAAACGTCAGGAGAGAATGCCTCTAGACCATGGCCATATAGCCCGAAAAAACCTACAACAACCTAAGTAGGAGGACTTAAGTATCAGTTTGAAAAATCCCTAGCTAGATGGGTCACAGCAAGAGTGGTTTCTTTGATATTCAGGCATACAGTGGGTGTGTTCTCCTTGAAATGCAGCACACTTGGTGTGTTTAAGCAGCCACATCCTCAGGGAACAATGAGCTAATTGTTCGGTTGCAAGATACCCTGTTTCCCAGGAGTAGGCGGACAGTGATGGATCTGTCTACCACTTTTGCAGAGGCAGATTAGGAGGAAGTGGCAAGGGAATAGACAACTATGTCATTAATGTGTCACTTAAGAATTATTACCGCTCACAGAATGACTGGAGAGTGTATGATGTTAATAGTAAATGTAAAATTCAGGAAAAAGATGTCTAGAATATGATTAGACAATCATATCTTCTCTTCACAGCATGGAAGACTGGGGTGTGTGTGTGTGTATTTTTTTGAAGGTGTTAAGTATTCTTGATTAAAGCCTTTTGACCTGTGGTGGCCTGCCTTTTCAGCACACATGTTCAGTGAAATCTAATGTATGGTAGTGTTACTTCTCTGTGCACTGCGGTACTTTTCCAAGTATAATGAAGGGTAATGACTAAAAATGTGAGCAGGAAACCCCTGGTATAGATGCAAAGGCACCTATCCATGTCTCCTTAGAAATAAGTCCCATTGATTTTAGGGCAGATAATAGAGTATTTACCTTGTAAATACAGGTTTCCCTTTCTCAGCTTTGGACCCCACCTCTCAATTTGCTAATATTGGAAATAATACCCTACAAAGTCTATCCTAAAAACTTATTGTAAGGTTGAACCTCATATATGCCTACGAGGCTGTAAAATCATGTGTTTTCGGATACCTACATATATTCTGCACATACTTTTATGAGCTGTAGCTCACTTCTTCATATAGATGGAGTGCTGCTGAATAGACAATCATTTACTCTCTGTTATTTTTTTTTATAAAGACAGCAATGCTGTTAATATTGGCTATTAATATTAGTTTCAATATTAGAATTTGCTTGAGCTATGTCACATCATTCAAACAGCACCAAACACTTGATAACCTTTCCCTGGAATATCATTACAGCAAAGGTTAATAACACTCCTTAAGTATGATTCCCCAAAGGTTAGCTCCCTGGAAATCAGTTCTTAAGGGAAGAGATGGTGAGCACTTGAATTTTCAGAGCCACAGAGATTTAAATACATTTAATATATATACTCAAGTATAGGTATAGGAGCCCCCGGTGGCGCAGTGGGTTAAAGCACTGAGCTGCTGAGCTTGTTGACTGAAAGGTCACAGGTTTGATTCCAGGGAGTGGCGTGAGCTTCCACTTACAGCCCTAGCTTCTGCCAACCTAGCAGTTCGAAAACATGCAAATGTGAGGAGATCAGTACTTCTCTGTGCACTGCGGTACTTTTCCAAGTATAATGAAGGATAATGACTAAGAATGTGAGCAGGAAACCCCTGGTATAGATCCACAGGGAAGATAACTGCGCTCCATGCAGTCATGCTGGCCACATGACCTTGGAGGTGTCTATGGACAATGCTGGCTCTTCGGCTTAGAAATGGAAATGAGCACCACATCCCAGAGTCAGACATGACTGGACTTAATGTCAGGGGACAACCTTTACCTATAGGACTAGAAATTTCAGTCAAAAAAATGGACTCAAAGCCCCTTGATCAACTTATCCACAGGTCAATGCAGATACTGTACCATAATTCTTATCAGGAAAAGAAATCATCCTCTTTTTCTGGGTATTTATCCTTTGCTTGATGTAAAGTGGCAAAATGCCTTTTTAAATGCCTGGATGGGAAGATGACGAAGGCTGGCATTTCCTTTCTCCGCAGAGTGATCCTCGATTTATTCATGGGTCATTCAAAATCCATAATTTTGACTGCAAAAACTGCCTTCAGTTTATACACAAGGTCAACTTATACAGGAGTATATGTGGATGGTATAAGGATCTTCTTGAACCAAAGGCCAAACCTGGGGATTATCCAAAAGGAGTCCAGATTAGCAGGATTCTGGTGTTTGCTGTGCTAGAGAGAAGAGGGCAGTGTACAGCTGTCACTTACCACACCTTCTTTGATTTAGATGTGGATTTTAATCAGTTGGAGGGTCCTAATCGGGTCATTGTCCCCTTCCTGGCTTGCGGAGACCTGAGTGCTTACGACTCCGACCGGACGTACCCCCTACAGGTAATACTCAATGATCTTCTGACATGATTAGTCTTCCGGAGATAAGCGGGGATGGGTGGCTACATCTATAACAGACTGCCTTTGCATTAACAGCTGAATCGGGCTAACGGAACATTTCCATAGAATTAGGTCAGTGGTTCTCAACCTTCCTAATGCTGTGACTCCTTAATACAGTTCCTCATGTTATGCTGCCCCCACCACAACTTTGTGTTGCTACTTCATAACTGTAATTTTGCTACTGTTATGAATCATAATGCAAATATCCGATATGCAGGTATTTTCTTTCACTGGACCAAATTTGGCACAAATACCCAATACGCCCAAATTTGAATACTGGTGGGGTTGGGGCAGGGATTGAGTTTGTAATTTGGGAGTTGTAGTTCCTGGGATTGTTAGTTCACCTACACTCAAAGAGCATTCTGAACTCCACCAGCAATGGAATTGAACCAAACTTGGCACATAGAACTGCCATGACCCACTGAAAATACTGGAAGGGTTTGGTGGGCATTGACCTTGACTTTTTGAGTTGTAGTTCACTTACATCCAGAGAGCACTGTGGACTCGGACAAAGATAGATCTGGATCAAACTTGGCACAAATACTCAATATTCCCAAATGTGAACACTGGTGGAATCTGGAGAAAAATAAACCTTGACATTTGGAGTTGTAGTTCACCTACAATCAAAGAGCATTCGGAACCCCACCAACGGTAGAATTTGACCAAACTTCCCACACAGAACCCCCATAACCAACAGAAAACACTGGGTTTTCTGATGGTCTTTGGAGACCCCTATGACACTCCCTCACGACCCACCCAGGGGTCCTGACCTCCAAGTTGAGAAACACTGAATTAGGTGGAATCTTGTATTGATAGTGGTGGTATCATCTTCTGTCCAGCTACAGAAGCATCCAACAAGCTGCTATAGTTTTGGTTCAAGATAGCAAGATATCAAAGTCTCATTGTCAAAGAGTTTCCAGCATGAACTTTTGTCTCCCTAAAGCTGTGTAGTAGATTTGACTAAAATGGGCAGCTTGAAGAGGGCAGTTGAGGGTTAAGTGAAGGGAATCTTCTTGTCGCTGTGGTGATTACTATTCTGTGCCTTTTGGAGACAGTTTAGACCCGCTGGCAATGTAGATAGTGGTATAACCTGTCTCTCCTTTTCTCCTATTTGGACAGCTGGATCCTGAGAAAGAATATACCTACACACCTCCCACTCAGCCCCCCATCCGGCCTCCCTATGAAGAAGCCTGCTTTTTAAAGAAGCACAATCTTCTCACTAAAGAGTCAATGCCCCAGCCTCAGCAGCAGGTTGCCTCCCATGAGCGTCCACAGCAGGAAGAACAGGAGCCAGGAGGCTTAGAGGCTGAAGTCATAGATGCCCTGGAAGAGTTGTCCACGTGACACATGTGTGCCTGCATCCCGCCATCTATCATTTTGAAAAACTTTTCATTTAATCCTTCTTGATTATCTGAATCTAGAACTTGTTGAATCCTCAAAAGACTTCAGAATATCCCTAACAAGACAAGTAGCACTGGTTTTAATAAAAAAAATAAATCATTGCTTTGTCAAAGGTTTCTTTGTAATGTTTTAGTTGCCTGAACTATCTGTTAGATATAAATCCTTATTTATCTGTCAAAGTGGAGTATTACCAAGTATTACCCATAACCAACAGAAAATACTCAAGGCCACCCAGTCCAACTCCCTTCACCAGGGCAAGAAAACGTAATCAAAGCCCTCCTGACAAAGAGCCATCCAGTCAGATATCCATAGATATATATTATTCACGCACACATAGATTTGAAAGGGAGCCCTAAAGAAGGATTGTTGTTACGGTCATTACTAATTGCTCTATGGCCTCTTCTCCCTCTCTCTCTGCTTCCTACCCCAAACATGGAGTTCAGCATTACCATCTTTTTCACCTTAGGTCCCTCAGGTTGGCCTGTGTTGTTGTTTTTCTGTTCTCAGAATTTAGCATGTCTGTCTTTGCCTTGAGGAAAAAACCATTTTCTGGCAATTGCATTTATACCACAGTGATATCATCAGCATCCACTTTGACAACCTGTGCTTGAACTTGGATTCCAGCCGATGGCGGTTCAATCCCAATTTTTTGAGAAGGCAAGCTTGGCTTAAGTCCGTATGCATTTGGGGCTCCCATTCTCTGGCTACCCACTCCCCAGCTTTCCTGCTGTCTGGCCTCCGGCTCCCCAACCATGAAATCAAACCTATCCAGCGGAGAGTGCTCAATTGTATACAGAGACTCCTCGGGGAGATAGGCAGTGTTTATTCCCTTTATGGATGTCTCATCTGCTGGGCTACTGTCCTCCGAGTGGGGCCCCTCAGTTTGAGATGCACGGTGTCGAGGAAGCTGCCTAGTATCCGGTTGGGGTTCAGCTCTTCGGAAGGAGTAACGGGCAAACAGGCCAATAAAAAACATCTCCACGGCCAATGAATAGTAGTAGATCACTGTAAAGATAAATACTTTTTTTAAAGTAATCTATATAAATAAAAATGTAATGTTCGTTTGTGGGATTAACATAACTCAAAAACCAATTTGGCCACAATACACCTACTAACCCAAGGAGTGACCACTACTCAAAAATTTTTGATTTCGTCATTTGGGAGTTATAGTTGCTGGGATTTATAGTTCACCTACAATCAAAGAGCATTCTGAACTCCACCAATGATGGAATTGAACCAATCTTGGCACACAGAACTCTCATGAACAACAGAAAACACTAGAAGGGTTTGGTGGGCATTGACCTCAAGTTTGGGAGTAGTAGTACACCAACATCCAGAGAGCACTGTGGACTCAAACAATGATGGATCTGGACCAAACTTGGCACAAATATTCCATATGCCCAAATATGAACACAGATGGAGTTTGGGAGAAATAGACATTGACATTTGGGAGTTTTAGTTACTGGGATTTATAGTTCACCTACAATCAATGAACATTCTGAACCACAGGAACGATAGAATGGGGCAAACATCCCACACAGAACCCCCATAACCAACAGAAAATACTTAAGGCCATCTAGTCCAACTCCCTTCTCCAGGGCAAGAAAACGTAATCAAAGCCCTCCTGACAAAGCCATCCAGTCATAGATATCCATAGATATATATGATTCACACACACATAGATTTGAAAGGGACCCCTAAAGAAGGACAATGATATGTTGCATGTTCCAGGGTGGGCAAACCAGACACTCTCCACATCAACACTGACAAAGAAACAACAAGAAATACCGTTTACCCTCAAGCATAAAGAAATTACATATATTAGAAACCAACACTTTTTCATCACATTATTTTCCATATCACCAGACCGAGTCACAGCAATGCGTGGCAGGGGACAGCTAGTTCTTACAGTAAAATCTTTATGTTCATATGATTTCTCAGGCATGCAAAAATAAAGTGAAAAGCATAACAGCAGATGCAAACTTTTGATTTCTAAAAAAAACCTTTGTAAAGAGGCTGGATGGCAATCTTTCAGGAGTGTTTTACTTGTGTATTCCTGCAGAGCAGTGGGTTGGACTATTTGGCTCTTGCAATCTGTTCTAACTATGATTCTATGAACCCACATACAGCTTTTTTAAAGCAAGTTAGTTTCTAGTCTATATAAATAAAAATGTAATGTTCGTTTGTGGGATTAACAGAACTCAAAAACCACTGGACGAATTGACACCAAATTTGGACACAATAAACCTCTCAGACCAACAAGTGACCATCACTCATAAAAATATTGGAAAAAAACAGCAAAAAAGACTTTAAAAGCCAAAAAACAAAAAATACATTACAATGCATGCGCAAAAACACATATATATATGCAAACACACAAATATATATACACAAATATATACACACAAAACACATATACACAGAAAGGGGGAAGAAAGGGAGGAGAGAATGAAGGAAAGAAAGAAGGTAGAGAAGGAAATAAAAAATGAGAGAAGGAAGGAAAGAGAATGCGAAGGAAGGAGAGAAGGAACGAATGAGAGAAAGAGGGAGGGAAGGAAGGAAGGAAGGAAAGAGACAAGGTAAGATGGAACCAAAGAGCAAAGGAAGCGAGGAAAGAAACAGGTAGAGAAGGAAGAAAGAAGAAGGAAAGGAGAAAGAGGGAGGGAAGGTTGGCCACAGCAACCCGTGGCAGGTACACCTAGTAATCAATAAACGGAAAGGAAGGAAAAGAAGGAAAGAAGAAGGGAGGAGAGAAAGAAAGAAAAAAAGAAGGAAGAGAGGAAAGAAAAGAAAGAAAGAAAGAAAGAAAGAAAGAAAGAAAGAGAGAAAAATGGAGGGAAGGTTGGCCACAGCAACGCATGGTGGGTAAAGCTAGTTCTTTATATAATACTAGAATCCAGATAGATGTCAAAATGACGCTAGCCTGATCTGTTTGAACATTTTCTTTGTTGCTGTGTGCCTTCAAGTAATTTCTGACTTATGGCGACCCTAAGGCAAACCTCTCATGTATTTGTTTTGGCATAATTTACCAACCATTAGGATTTCTGTGAGCTGAAGGCCAAAACATCTGGGGACCCACAGGTTGAGAACCACTGACATAATTTGTTCAGAGGTCATTTGCCTTTGCTTTCCTCTGAAGATGACAAAGTGTGATTTGCTCAAGGTCACACAGTGGGTTTCTGTGGTCAAGCAAGGAGGTCTAGCACTTAACCATTACAGCACAAGGGTTTATTTTCTACCTGAAAGAAAAATATTTACAGATAGGCTTAAGTAAGGAGATGCTGAGGACTTACTTTTTATTGGTTTTGTATGGTTTTATATTATATGTTGAATTTTTAAAATTGTGTTTTATGTTGTTGGAGGCATCGAATTGTGGCAACTGTAAACCGCCTTGAGTCACTTTCGGGCTGAGAAAGGGCGGTATATAATAATAATATTTATTTATTTGATCAGTCATATGACCATTTCAAAATAAAACACAAGTAAAAAACAAGGCAACAAGGTGATAAGTCAGAATCTTATTTTCCTGGTTCTTCTTTCAGGAAATCTGCTCTTTTCTTAATAGCTTTCAGAATAAAAAGGCTTACTCTGATTATGCTGGATCTTTCCTGCCCTTGCAAGAGGGATGTCAGAATATAATTTCTGTTGGGGGACCTGCAATTGGGTAATACTGGATGTAAATATCTGTCTTGCAGTTCAGTATATGCTGGACAGTCAATTAAGAAATGTTCAATGTCTTCCACTGTTTGTTCTCCCCAGACGCAGAATCTCTCACTTCTTGGGATGTTACAGTAACGCCCGGTTTGCACCATAGTACCGAGTTGTTCAAACCTAGCCCTAGTATATGTTCTTCTTAAGGGTAGAGGAAGTGGAATAGTTAGATAGTGCTCTAAATGAATATTCCTTTTGTGGGAAGGTAAAAACCTTGTGGCTGAAGACCTACCTATGCTCTCTAGGTCCAGCTGTGCATAGACATCCCGGATGCGCCACTTGAGCACTTGCCCTGCCCCTGGACCCAAAACACCCAGAAATTGCAAAGGCAGACCGAATCCAGCCAACTCATGATTCAGAGCCGCCATCCACGATGACTTCTGGTCACGCTGGACTTGATCCTCTAGACATAGGCAACTTCTGGTCATGCTGGACTTGATCCTCTAGACATAGGCAAGGAAGTCTACTGGGATCCATAGAGTTTACTTTTGACCAGTAATTAAACTGTCTCATTAGAATTTGAGCTTTTACTGGGAGTATTCCTAGCTCAGCCCTTACTGCGCCGTCAGCGTTGTTCTGGAAAGGCCCAGGAAGGTGCGAAGCTGCTTCACTTGGAAGGCTTCAATCTTAGCCAGATTGATGTGCCCCCAAATTTCAGCCCCAAATATAAGTGCTGGCATTATTTGTGTTTTAAAGACTTCCAGGGCAGGTCTGATTGTGCCTGGATATCTATGATGGTACAGCTTATAAATGGAACCTGCTGCTTTTGTTGCTCTTTGTATACTATGAGTAATGTGGTTAGCCCAAGCACCAGACGAAGAGAACATAATGCCTAGATATTTGTAGCAATTAATTTGTTCCAAATGTACGCCTTTCAGGGACCACGTGTACTGTTTCCTGTTTTTGAAAGGGCGGTATATAAACACGGTAAATAAATAAATAAATAAAGTATAGGCAATAGGACCTATAAGCTCAAATAATCCTGTATTCTTGGGCTCACCCTTTTGTTTTTGTCCACACTGGTGGGTAGGTCCCAAGAAATCTTCTGCAATTGAGTTTGTCCCTTGGGCTGAAAGGATTTCTCCCTTCTTGCTTTGCTTCTAAGTTGTTTCTTATAAAGAGTAACTTTTTGCTGCTGATAGAAAGGCAAGCACATCTCTAAACCAGTAAGCTTTCCCAGTAAGGACCCTCCTGGTGAAGGCAACTTACCTTGAGCACGAGTGACAGGCGACAGAGGCGGGCTGCAAGGGATGGCACCCACCGCTCCCATGGTTTCCAGGATCCCGCTCTGCAGGCCACAGAGAACTAGAACCAAGATGATGCAGACAAATTTGGAGCGCAAGCTGTAGCCAGCAAGTGCTGGCTTGGTGGCCTTGTAGAAGAGCAAATAGCCATAGAAGGAGAGGAAAGTGGAGATGCCAATGATAACATTGATGTAGGAGTTGGGGTTGGTGTAGCCCACCTAGGGGAAATAAAACGGTGAAATCACAAGAAGTTCACAGTGGCTCTCCTAGAAACTAATATTTAGGCTTCATCCCAGGAAATTTGAATGGTACAGCAGAAACCTCTCCATTTGAGAAAGAACTTCTAGTTCTTCAGGTGCTTTGGACTACAAGTCCCACAAACCTTATGTTCCACACCTGTTAGGGTTTTCAGTCCAAAACATCTAGAAGTCTCCAAGATGCCTGTCCTGCTGTCTAATACAATATTTTTTTCAATACCTTATCTTCAACCGTCGGGTACAATCAAAATATCTTTTTAAAACTAAAGTCAAAAGTATAGATCAAGGAGATAGCGTGTAATTCCACCTGGTAAAACTATGTCTCATCAGCTTCCTTACTTTTAATTGCTTCCACTCCCATAAACATGCCCATTGACAAGCTGATGGAGCGTGGAGACAGAGAAGCGTCCAGCTATGTTCCCTTTGTTTGGTGCACAGCACCTAGGCATCTTTTGTGAGCTTCCAGGGATCACTCAGAGGTCTGCAAAGATGACTAAAAGCTGTATGTTCAAGAATAGAGATGTGACTCCTCTCCTGTTTCTCCGGTTCTGTATTTGCCAGAAAATGGCCGTCTACAGCTGCCAGAAAATGGCCATCTACAGCAGCCAAAAAGTGGGTTTAAAGTGGGGACAGGGGTTGATTAGTGTGAAATCGGTCAGATTTTTGATCCCTGCAAAGACCAAAATGGGAGAGGTGGAACTAAACAGTTCGCAGTTTGGGAGTGATCCTGGACTCATCGCTGAGCCTGGAACCCCAGGTCTCGGCGGTAGCCAGGAGAGCTTTTGCACAATTAAAACTTGTGTGCCAGCTACGCCCGTTCCTTGAGAAGTCTGACTTGGCCACAGTGGTTCATGCTCTTGTTACATCCTGAATAGACTACTGCAATGCACCCTACATGGGGCTTCCTTTGAAGACTGCCTGGAAGCTTCAACTAGCCCAACGATCGGCAGCCAGGTTGCTCACCGGAGCAACGTACAGGGAACATACAACTCTTTTGTTACGCCAACTCCACTGGCTACCGATCAGCTTCTGAGCACAATTCAAAGTGCTGGTTTTAATCTTTAAAGCCCTGTCTTATAAATGGAGGGTATCGTAAACCAATTCTTTGCTTAATACGCATGTGCAATGTTAGCTCAAGTGCTCATTAATTTTTAGCCCCTTTGCCTTTCAGATATGATTCAGACTCACTCACATCACCATAGTCGTATTTCTCATCTGTCCACAGTATAAGGGTGACAAAGAAGAGAATGCTCCGGATGATGGAGAGCTGGTACACAGCCAATGTCATGCATCGCAGGTTGGTTCTGCAGAAACGAAAGAAGCAAATGTTAGTTATTTGTCAGAGTGTAGAAAGGAGTGGGGGAAATAAAGGATTGCCAATGCTTATCTTCCCTATACTGTAATGTAAGAATTTAAATATTTTCAGATCATTGCTATTACTATTGTTCAGCATCAACTCATGTTATTCAATGGATAGATTGCAAACTAAGGTAGATCACACCCACAGCACTATGGTAATCTTTTTGGTGGAATTAAAAACATACATGAGCAGAACGAAAGATAGAAAATGAATACACTTAAAGCTTTCAGACACGAAACAATCAAGGCCAGTTAACACCTCCTAACAAATGATTCCCCCAGGCAGGAAGCAGACAGGCTTTGAAGCTGCAAGGCTGTTCAGTGCTAACCAAGGTGGCCAATTGCAACATTCACACTTACCTCAAACAGGCAATATTTATTTATTTATTTACCATATTTATATCCCACCTTTTTCACCCCAGAGGGAACTCAAGGCAGTCTAACAGCAGACAGAAACAATGAACAATTACAATTAAAATCAAACAATTAAAACATGAATTATTAAAATCACACCAACAAAAATATAATCCAAGAGTTCTTTCACCCACCCTGGACATTCCACAGATATACAAACCCCACTTGCCTAGTTTCCAACAGGCCTCACAACCTCTGAGGATGCCTGCCATAAATGTGGGCAAAACGTCAGGAGAGAATGCTTCTGGAACATGGCCATACAGCCTGGAAAACTCACAGCAACCCAGTGACTCCAGCCATAAAAGCCTTTTACAACTGGTTGAGTATCCTGTATCTGAAATGCTTGGTGCCAGAAATGATTTGAGTTTTTTTGAGATTTTGGAGCACTTCTATTTGCATATACTTACATAATAAGATATCTTGGAGCTGGGCCCAACTCTATACCTGAAACTGATTTATATTTTATCTATACCCTATACACATGGTAACAAAGACATGCTCTTACCGGTTGACTGCAATCTCAGGAAGACAACAACAGCAGCAACACGGGAAAGGGTTTGGAGAGACACGCTGTCCTGCCAGCTGGTGGAGCATTCGATCTGAGCCACCAAAGAAATCTCGGATCAAAGTGAGGAATTTCCAGAGGGTGATGGAGTGGTAGCTGCAAGCACAGGGATAATAGCATTATATAAACATGGGAACCAGAAAAGCAAATCACACAGTGGAGCTGTCAAGGTTGTCCAATTTCAGTTTGTTGACTGAGACCAAGGAGAAGCTGCCAGCCCTTCCCCAATTCACATACAAAACCTAAATTGTGCTGCAGCATGGCAAGATAGTAGGCTAGTTTGTTGTTGTTGTTTATTCGAGATGGACCTCATGGACCAGTCCACACCAGAGCTCCCTGTCGGCCATCACCACCCCCAGCTCCTTCAAGGTCAATCCAGTCACCAAGGATCCCACCCATCCATCTTGCCCTTGGTCGGCCCCATCTTCCTTTTTCCTTCCATTTTCCCCAGCATCATTGTCTTCTCTAAGCTTTCCTTTCTTTTCATGATGTGGCCAAAGTACTTCATCTTGGCCTCTACTATCCTTCCCTCCAATGAGCAGTCAGGCTTTATTTCTTGAAGTATGGACTGGTTGGATCTTCTCGCGGTCCAAGGCACTCTCAGATCTTTCCAACACCAGAGTTCAAACACGTCTATCTTCCTTCGCTCAGCCTTCCCTATGGTCCAGCTCTCACATCCGTAGGTGACTATGTGGATCTTTGTTGCCAGTGTGATGTCTCTACTCTTCACTATTTTATCAAGATTGGTCAGTTGAAGGAAACCTAAAAGTTGTGTGAGAACCAGAATGGTGTAGTGTCTTGAGTGTTTAGCTAAGACTCTGTGAGACCAAGGACTTCATCCTGCGGATGTAGGGCTCCATTTCAATGTGTTGCAGAAACAGAGCCCCACAGGAGTCCCATGGAGGCCATCACATAACATAAGGCCACTTCCGGTGGGGCTCTGTTTCCATACCACATGGAAACAAAACTCCGGGTCTGTCTTCAGGAGTTAGGTGCTACCCAACTCCAAACAACTCTTTATGAGCTCCTGGTAAATAACTTGCTCCTATTTTTAATCTCATTATAGCTTTTAACATTTTATCCTGTACATTTGGCCTGCACACTGTTTACTATGTTTGTGTTTTTTGTTTATTGTAATGCTATTTTGTTATTGATTTTTAAAATGTAATTTTGATGATGTTGTTTGTTGTTTATGTTTTGGTTTTATCTTGATGTAATATGTTGTTCGGGCTTGGCCCCATGTAAGCCGCTCTGAGTTCCCATTGGGGAGATGGTGGCGGGGTATAAATAAAGATTGTTATTATTATTATTATTATTATTATTATTATTATTATTATTATTATTATTATTATAGCAGCAGAAGATGGGAAAAGGACATGGGATGGCTGGCCAACCCAGAAGATGGGGAAAGACGATAGGGAACGAAGTAAGACAATTCCCTTCGCTTTTCCCCAGCTCATGGGATGAAGTTACATGATTCAATTCCCTGCACAGCCATAGAAATCCAGTGGGATAGTCACACCTCTTCAGTCTGAAAGGCACAAATTGGCAAACTCTCTGCAAAAATCATGCCAAGAAAACTCTATGACAGGATCACCACAGGACTGCTATAGAAATGACTTAAATGCACACAACAAAGCGTTTTTGTTTTGTTTTTTGGTTTTTTTTTTGTGGCACACACAATACAGTTATCTAATACAGGAGAATGGGTGTTGAATTTAGGTATGTTACTCTCAAACTGCCCCACAAAATCTGTCACCTAAGGAAATGCACGTCGTTCTACCTAATAGTAAGGCTGCTTTTAGTATCTTTTTAGAGAGAAAAAAACTAGGATATAAATAATAAGAATAAGAACAACACCAAGCCAACCTCCATAGCCATGAAGAACTCAATTAGTTAAACATAACAAGATCTTGGCTCAGCTTGAACTTTTTGTCTTTCCATTTGCATGTAGGCATGTTATCACATCTCTCTTTCTTTCTTGAGGTCATGGACTTAAAGGGAGTGCATGTTTCAGGCTCAGGTTTGATAAGATTGCACGCCTTTTAAAGAGAGAGAAAGGAAAATCTCAAGATGCTGTGTGTTATGAAGTTTGAGACAATAGAATGAAAGCTATTAGGGATACAGGGAATGTGTTCTACAGATCCTGTTTCAGCAGGTCCTCTACTTCGTTTCAAGATGAAGACAAACATTGCAAAGTGCATACTAAACTGATTATCTCTCTTAAAGCCTGAAATATCAGAATGAATATTTGCATGTGCATTTAGAGCTATAAGGCTTCTAATCTCAATATGCCCCATGGAAACAACAAAGGAAGGAGGCCAAGCAGGCAGCAAATGCTTTATTTATCAAATTAGTCTATTACAGTCATCTCTAGCTATTGGTTGAGGTTTGGTTCAAATTTTGTGGATGGTCAAGTCCCATCTATACAATGACATGGTAAACATTACATAAAATGGTAAAATCAAGCTTTTAAATTCTGTTGTATATTTTCAAGCTGTAGATCTGTGGTTCCCAACCTGTGGTCTATGGACCACCAATTGTCCGCAAGAACTAAAACATCCACAGCCTCGCCATTACTATACCATTGGAATGAGAGCAACTGGTCTCACGAAACCCTCATCAGCACATGGCAACTATTGGAGGACATATGATCTATAGTAGAAACTAGAGCTGTGATCTATCCAATGCCATTTTCTGAATCAGCACCCTAAATAACCAAACCAAATCTAAAGTTGACCAAAAACTGATTCGTAACCCTTTTGGTACTCATGTTGGAGAGTGGTCCCTGGTCAAAGTGGTCCCTACCTGGTCAAGTGGTCCCTGGGCAAAAAAAAAAAAAAAGGTTGGGAACCACTGCTGTAGATAGTTGAATTTATTTCTTATTTATTTACAGTATTTGTATACTGCTTTTCTGACCCCGAGAGGGACTCAAAGTGGTTTACACATAAGTAATGGCAAAGTTAAATGCCAGTACAAACAATTACAATTATACACTACAGTTAGACATAAAACAAATTAAAACAATACATCCATAAGCAATAAAACAATAATTAAAACAATAAAACAGTCTCATCCGTCGAATTGCTGTTCCAGTCATTGACTTTCCATAATGTCTCATACATATACTTCTACTGTCTGAAGGCCTGGTCCCAAAACCATGATTTTCATTTTTTTCTAAAAGCCAGGAGGGAGGGAGCAGATCTTACCTCATTTGGAGTGTGTTCCATAGTCAGGGGGCCACAGCCGAAAAGGCCCTGTCTCTCGTCCCCACCAGATGCATATGTGCAGTTGACGGGAGCGAGAGCAGGGCCTCCCTGGATGATTTTAGATTATGAGATGGGACGTAGGGGCAGGGCCGTAGCCAGAAAAAAATTTCGGGGAGGGTTGAAAATTGGGGGGGGGAGGGTCATGCTGAAGCAAAGAGCACATCTGCAGGGGGCAGAGCAGCCTTCAATAGCCTGCAGCTCCGCCCCTGTCAACCACCTCCACCAAGTCTGGCCTCCTTAATGAGAGCATTCAACACCCCCCCCCCCCAACTTGGTTGTTTTGCTACATCAGCTATTGCTGCAAGTAATGACAGTGTGACTAAATTGTCAATATTTGATTGAGATAGTGATTGCAGTTCTGGAAGGACTCTTAATGTTTTGCGTCTCATAGACTTAGCATGGGGATTTGGTTAACCAGTTAAAATTCATGAGTAAACCAGGTTTTTTTTTAACCTGAAACATTTCGGGGGGGGGGGGTTTGAACCCCCTAACCCCCCCCCCCCCGGCTACAGGCCTGCGTAGGTAGGGGTGGATGCATTCAGACAAGTAAGCGGTGCCAGAACCATATAGAGAGTGGATACAGAATCTGTGGATACAGAGGGTTGAATGTAATAGATGTTTTCGATGAAGACGATATATATTGTTTGTCCTGGAAATATCAGCCATTGTTTCCTTGCTTCTTCTAAAGGAGATCGTGCCTTTTTTGCAATTTAAAAGAGAGGCAACTATTCAGTTGATGCAAGGTTCTTCAGCCCAAAGTCCTTAACTTAAAAATAATCAGATAGTAACAATTCTGCAGCGACCTTGAAGCATTTTGAGAATAACAGACCAGAAACAAAACTGTTCAGCTCTTCCTGCCTATAACTTTCACAGGGTAACTTTTCCCCCACATCTCCTTCCCCACTTTGATCCAAATCAACTTACATGGATCCTACAAAGCTGCAGACAAAGAAGGCTCGAGGGATGAACAAACCAATGAGGGAAGTGAGGCTGAACACCTGTTTGAAAAAGAGATTGAGGATATTAACACCACTTTAGTGAGCATCCTGCCTAGCTTTAGGCTATATACACCTGTTTCATACCCTCCAACATTTCATAGACAAAAACGAGGACATCATTGGTCAAGTAACATAAGAGTTTGGTCAATCGGCAAACATTAATAAGGAGGAAGGCACAATCTAGAGGCTGCAGCAGGTTGCTTTTGCCTCCATTGGCAGGGAAAGGCAAAATTTTGACCTCTTACTTCCTCGTGCTGAGATAATAGCATGCAATCGACTTTTGCACTTTGAATTAAGTTTGTAGCAGCTAGAGTAAGCTGAGGACAAAGGTGGAGAATGAGAGATGGAGAGAGAAACTGGGACATTTTAAAAGCAGCTGAATAAAATGGGATGACAGTGGATTAATCAGGAGGGTCCTTGCCAAATCGGGGCAGTGGGAAGGTGTTTATGGAAGACATATCTAGTGTGCCACAAAAGATACAAAATGTAAGCGTTTATCTGACATTGATCCCAGGCTGGTTAGCATCTTGTCTTCTATAAAGGCCAATTATAGGTTTCTAAGGCCCCTTCTACACTGCCATATAAAATCCAGGTTACCTGCTTCGAACTGGATTATATGGCAGTGTAGACTCATATAATCCAGTTCAAAGCAGATAATGTGGATTATTTGGTGCAGTGGGTTAAACCCCTTTGCTGGCAGGACTGAAGACCGACAGGTCGCAGGTTCAAATCCGGGGAGAGGTGGATGAGCTCCCTCTATCAGCTCCAGCTTCTCATGCGGTGGATGAGCTCCCTCTATCAGCTCCAGCTCCTCATGAGAGAAGCCTCCCACAAAAATGATAAAAAACATCAAATCATCCAGGCACCCCCTGGGCAATGTCCTTGCAGACGGCCAATTCTCTCACACCAGAAGCGACTTGCAGTTTCTCAAGTCGCTCCAGACACGACAAAAAAACCCAAACAAACTGATTTGATAATCTGAATTATGTGGCAGTGTAGAAAGGGGCTAGAAAGTCCACTAGTGGGGCAAAAAAGTGATAGTCCAGGAAACAGTGCACAGTAAAATCGTATTTTTTATATTCTGGTGCAGCTGTGTCATTAAAAACAGTGCATCATGGACAAATATTTTGGAAAACATTTACACAATTTGTAAATCTATCTCCTTTAGATATTAATGACTGCATATTATTAATATGCATTGCAATGTATGTTTATGTCAATGGAGAATCACATGTATTAATAAGAAAAAGTTTTGCGCTATCTGCAAGATAAACATTATCCTCCATTTCGTGTACACAGATTAAGAAAACAATGAAATACAAAACATACAGTCTGTTGAAATTTTAATTTGTGATGTTAAGATGTACGCTCAGTGACCTCCTCTAACAAAGGGAATGTCTGTTTCAACAGATTTTATGATATTCAGGGACAGCAGTATACAATATACATCATATTGAAAGAAAATCCACAAAAGAGTCAACCAAAGTGCAAAAACAATCATGCAAGCCTTTGAAGCTTCACTGGCTTCTTTATCATGCAAAAGATGTTCAAAATCATGTAGATGAAGATTTAGAAAGTAACAGAAAAGTAAGTTATTTTTCCACTGTTGATGGAGACTAAATTTTACTGCTCTTTGTTTCTATCCCCACACAACCCAAACAACTTATCAGCTGGCTTTGTGAAATATGGGCATTTTGTGCCTGGAAACATCTATGATTTCAGACGTTTTTTGAAAGGGCACCATTCCCCACTCTACCCATATGCCATTTTGTGAAAATAAAAGAATAAATACTGTTTAAATTGCTGATGTATAAACTAACCTCCAAAGGTTGGTGATCCCTTTTACAGCCTAGTCCTCAGTATATTTCATTTAGGAGTCCCATATTTTTTATTTACTGTGTTGACGATTACATGGTATTGGAAGCAGATGATGAGATAGATAAGATAAAATTGGTGGATTCATATCCTGTTCTTACCGGATAGACTCCCAGGATCCAGAGTGAAAGGCTGGTGCGGTGGGAGCTCTTGCCATGACGCAAGAAGAAGCCTATCTGTTCCAAGAAGAGACCGACCTGCACCAAACCCAGGAATATTGGTACCAAGAAGATCCAGATTTGGCCCTTGATGACTGTGACAGAAAGAAAGTGGTGAGAGTCAGAAAGAAAGAGAATAGCTTTCCTTTGCTCCTCCATTATGTGAACTGAAAGTCCTTCCTATTAGATACTTTGAGGAAGGCAGCTGGGTTATCCTCAAGCACAAGACATCATGCATATGGTCAACAATATTTGCTTGTTACTTTGTCATTTTTCTAAGGTGAAATTGCAAACAATGCCATACTGCCCAACTTTTCTTGGACAGAAACTGGAATACCTGTGGCCAAGCAACCTCAGACTGTAGTAGAATAGAACAGAGGAACTTTATTATCATTGCACATTGTAAAATGAAATTAAGTGTTATCCCCAATCACATATATATGTCCAAATCTATATAAATAAAAATGTAATGTTCATTTGTGGGATTCATTTGTGTTCATTTGGTGGACGAATTGCCACCAAATTTGACCACAAGACACCTTTTCACCCAAGGAGTGAGCATCACTAAAAAAAAATTTGAGTTTGTCATTTGGAAGTTGTAGTTGCTGGGATTTATAGTTCACCTACAATCAAAGAGCATTTTGAACTCCACTAACGATGGAATTGAACCAAATGTGGCACACAGGACTCCCATGACCAACAGAAAATACTGGAAGGGTTTGGTGGGCATTGACGTTGAGTTTGGGATTTGTAGTACACCAACATCCAGAGAGCACTGTGGACTCAAACAATGATGGATCTGGACCAAACTTGGCACAAATATTCCATATGCCCAACTAGGAACACAGATGGAGCTTGGGGGAAATAGATCTTGACATTTGGGAGTTGTAGTTGCTGGGATTTATAGTTCACTTCGATCAAAGAGCATTCTGAACCCCACGAACAATAGAATTGGGGAAAACTTCCCACACAGAATCCTTATGACCAATAGAAAATACTTAAGGCCATCCAGTCCAACTCTGTTCACCAGGGCAAGAAAACAGGGCAAGAAATACTGTTTACCCATAAGCATAAAGAAATTACATATATTAGAAACCAACACTTTCACATTACTTTATTTTTCAGATCACCAGCTTGGGCTACAGCAACATGTGGCAAGGGATGGCTAGTTACAAAATAAGTACCCATCCTTCCACATTCTAATATCTGTTGCACAACCCCTAATGGCACATCAGTATAAAACCACAGAGTTCGATATAGCCACAGCTTTAGGATAAAAGCTCTTGCTTACCCTATTTGTTTTTATAATCCTATACCATCTGCCAGATGGTAACAATTTTTTAAAAAGAATATTCAGGGTAAGATGGATCATTAAGAATATTTTGAGCTTTCTTAAGGTAACAGGAATTATACAGTTTAGAGAGGAGAGAGGGCAACCAATAATTCTCCGGGCACTAATGGTAATCATCTTATAGTCAAAACAACAATGGTTGTGGACGAGAAAGATAACACAAATTAGCAGAAGCTGCAGCACTGTGCTTTTGCATGAACTTACTAGGAAGACGAGCACAAAATATTTTTGCAGATTGAGCTGCATTTGCACCAAAGGAAATAAGCTGAGGAAAAAGGGGTGAAGCAGCAGGAGGAAAGAGAATTAGGGACACACAGCCCTATATTCCAGAATATCAAGGCAGCAAATCTCACAATATTTGCTTTGAACTGCGTTTTCTGAGTCCACACTCAGATAATGTGGGGTTTCCTGCCTGGATATTCTGGGAAAGGCCCAGCGAGTCAATCAGGACTATCCCTGTCGAATTGAGACCATTGGAGGTATGCAATTATGGAGTCAAACCCCAAGAAGCACTGATTAAAAGGTGTTCTGTATCTTACATCTAACCTTTGGTTATTGTTCATCCTTCCCAACCACACCCTCACCCCGATGTTTCTCACTTTTCTGCACTATCTGCATTCTTACCTTGAAATATCTCAGATGACAAAGGGAACTGATCGTTAGAGAGGGAACAGTTTGACACACGCACCATTTTCTTCTCATCAGGGCAGGTGTCTCCAGGTGCCCAACCACCAATAATTTCCTCTTTTTTCAGTATTAGTCACTGAATTAATCATTGACATAAACCAGGAATAGGTGTCTTGACAACAGGGCCCAAGTCCACTTCTCTCCACCTGCTGGGGATTCCTGAAAAAGGTGGTTATGTACATCCATATTTGCATAGAACAGTGGTTCCCAACTTTGGTCTTCCAGTTGTCTTGAACTTCAGCTCCCACAATTCTTGATAGTTGGCCAATCTGGCTAAGGCTTCTGGAAGTTGAAGATCCAGGCACTTTAAAAACCAAAAGTTGGGGACCACTGTCTGAGAGGGCGAGGAATTTCAATGTTTTAGTACTATGCATTGATAGGAAGGACGGAGATTCTGGAGGTGTCGAGATAGAGCATCAACTTCCATCAAGTTCTGTTGATGGGGGACATCAAGTCCTGTTGATGTCTCCAAGCTGATCTGACATGCAGCAGGGAGTTCAGCAGTTCCTGGATGTCCAATTGGCCTAGCATTGCTGGGAATGTGGCCACAGCAGCAGCTTCAAGAAGAGACTCTTTTTCTGCCTTGCTTTCTTCCACTTGCCCTAACGTTGTAACAAATCCCCCAATAAAATATATTTTAATTGTAAATTGTGAATTTAACTTAACCTCTCCATAGTGCTCTGGGAATAACACTTTTACCCCTGAAACCTCATGTGGAGACCAGCTGATAGCGATCCCTGGTTCCATACTGCAACGATGTTCCTACCACCATCCTGCTGAGTTTCCAGAAGCCTACCACCCCTGGGGGGGGGGGGCTGCTGCAGTCACCCCTTGGAACCCCCGGACCTCTGACTGGCTGACCTGGACCTTGGCTAGCATTGGATTTATAGTTTACCTTTCTTCAACAAATGGATCCCGATCCTCGGCGCTCCCTGTGACCCCAGTATACCTCCCATGGACTCTTGTGGACACCCCCCTTTTGCATCATCTCCTTAGACTTTTTATGAACTTTTGCCCACTCTGGAAAACATTTTAAACTTTTTGGAAACTTTTTTCCTTCAAACTCCATGGACTCTCGCTATGATTTATGAACTTTCAATGGACTCTGGTCGGTGGGATGGGCTGATATGATTTCTTCCTCCCGTTATATGAATGTATCCCCTATGGCCCCCCTGTATGTCTTCTTTTTTCCTCATATCCCTATATGTAATATAAAATACGAAATGCCCCCTCTTCGTGAACCCAGCATCTCAGGGCTACAGGAAAAACCTCACATTTTCTGAACCCAACTACTCTTGCATGGACAATAGGACAATGGGCATAATCCTTCAGACCTCGGAGTAACCCAAGTTAGCCCATCTGAAGGATATGCCCCATTGCAGGTTTAATTGCTCCTCACAAAGGGTGACATCCTGCCTGCAGAGGATTTAGTTGTCACTACAGCCTCTTTCTTTGTTTCCGTTCCTCTAGCTGATACCACAGTCAGATACCATCACTAAATCCATATCCCAGACCTAAGGATTACAAAGGGTCTGATTTTCGAGTCAGACGAAGATGTATATTTCAAGCACTCAAGATAATAAAGAAGCCAGCTTGAGGACTTAAAAAGTTATCGCCGACACCAAATCCATTAATCTTTTCCTCCCAGTTCATTGTTTCCCACCCGGGAAAACAATTTGGTGGCATTTTCTTCAATTTTGGTGAGATTTATTTGGGAAAACCAGAGAAAAAATCTTTGGGTGCTTCTTTCTTGCCAGGGTCAAAACAGATCCTCTTTGGTGGATCTGATTGATCTCTGTCTTCAAGGCAAAGATCCCTAAATTATTGTGCGAATGCCCAATGTTCAGATATCTGCATGGCCATGGGTCTTTCCACACATTTGTTCTAACAGCAAAACACATTGCAAAGTCAAAGTTCCCCATGAAGATGAACTAATGGATTTGAGGTACTATTCAGATCAGCAATGAGAGTATTCAGTACACAACCTAATAGGACCTGTACAATGATTTGGCAGTACAATAGACTATGAAGAGGGAATTGCTTCCCATAACTCTGAAAAATTAGAAGGATCGAACTGTACTTAGAGGAAGATCTGCGTTTCCATTTTTCACAATTGAAAGACCAGGATCTGAACAGAATGAGAGCCCTGAGCTTGTTCATTCTCATACAATTTTACCAAATCACAACTGCAAAGTGAATGTGCTGAAAAATCCCACCAAATTTGATAGAGTCCTTGCTACGTAACATAACCCTATCCACAACTCTTTGTTTTTATTTAAAGTGGATTTCTTTGGGCCTCCATGTACTGAGTATACGCTGTATGTATATGTGCTTTCAAGCTAGGTGTTGGCTAATAGTGAACCGCATGAATTTCATAGTGTTTTTTTAGATAAATAATACTGAGAGGTTTGGCCAGTTCCTCCATCTGAAATATAGCCTACAGCAACTGGTATTCATTAGCAGCCTCCCCCTCCCTGGTCCTTCCTCAATCAGATGGAAGCTGGTGCCTTTGTTTCTGCATCAGGCTTATTTCTTTGTTACACTTAGAATTTCATTCCAGATGCCCAACACTTTCAAGCAATTATAACATTTTGTAGAGTTTTGAGATGACTGTGTAGAAAATATTTGTTTTATTTTTACAATCTGGAAACTGATGTTCGGTCTTTCTAAAAAAATGAAGTATATGAATATGGGAAATTCCTTGGCAGATTGGATCTGTAGCCAGAATTAGCATAGTAAAAGATGTCACTCTAGACTGTGATTCTAGAGTAGCTACTTAGTTACCTAGATCAGTAGTGTTTATATACTTAGTGGCAGCAGTTGCTCTAAGCTAGCGGTTCTCAACCTGGGCGTCGTGACTCCCAGAAGGGTCATTTGGCACTTCTCGAGGGGTCGCAGCCCTGCCTCCTCAGGCCCCGCCTCCTTGTACAGGCCCCATGTGTCATCCTCAGGGTGCTAAAAAGGCCCCGAGAGGCCTAGGACTTCTCCTGGCATTGGCAAGCATGTGGGGGAAGAAGGCTGGTGGAGAGAGCGCAAGCCCAGGAGCCGATGCAGGAAGTGTACCCTCTTCCCCCACGCTTGCCAATTCTGGGAGAGTGATTTGCTCCGGTGTTGGCAACCAGTTTAAGGAGCATGCGCCCAGGGCCAATGCAGGAAGCGTGTACCCTCCACCAACCTTCTTGCCCCATCCCGTATAGACTTGCCTCTGGAGGGGTTGCCTCTGAAGACTGCTCGGAAGCTACAAATGGTCCAACGATCGGTAGCCAGGTTGTTAACAGGAGCGGCACTCAGGGAGCATACAACTCCTCTGTTGCGCCAGCTCCACTGGCTGCCAATCTGCTACCGGGCACAATTCAAAGTGCTGGCTTTAGCCTTTAAAGCCCTAAACGGTTCTGGCCCGACCTATCTGTCTGAACGCATCGCCCCCATGAAACAAATAGGACATTAAGATCGTCCGGGGAGGCCCTGCTCTCGATCCCGCCAGCCTCACAAGCACGGCTGGTGGGGACGAGAGACAGGGCCTTCTCAGTGGTGGCCCCTCGGCTGTGGAACGCCCTTCCCGCAGACATTAGATCGGCCCCCTCCCTACTGGCATTCAGGAGGAGAGTGAAGATCTGGCTCTTTGAACAGGTGTTTAATTAAGCAGTGCAATTAATTGATTTATTATTGGAACATGGAATAATGGACAATGAGATCGGATTATGACTTTACTGATGAGACGTGATGGATTAGTTACATTGATGTATTGATGTTATATTGATGTATTGTTGTATGGTTATATTGATGTAGTTGCCATGGTTACCGTTTTTAAATGCTAATGTTGTGCACTTTGTATACTGATTTGTTGTAAACCGCTCTGAGTCGCCTAAGGACTGAGAAGAGCGGTATACAAATGAAGTAAATAAATAAATAAATAAATAAATAAGTAAGTAATACGCTTGCCAAAGCCGGTGTACGTTCCCCTCCTGAGGCTGGCACCAAGGTGCTCCCTGCTTCAAGGGGCAGCCTGGGGGCTCTGAGGCCATGGGTGCTCTGGGTGACAGTGTGCTGTTCTCCCTTTACGGCTGCCCTGTTGGCAGCTGCATCGCATGCCTTTCCTGGAGGCTGTGCCGGCACCCCTCTTGGGCCTGGCAAGAAGTTTTCTCCCAGCAGTTGTGCCTCCAGGCAGTGGGAGAGAGCCCAGTGGACTTGTACATCTCAGAGCTGAAGTGATTGAAGGTACTGCAAATCCTATCATCTGTTGTACATCCTCCCTCAAATACATCCAGTATTTTCTGTTGATCATGGGAGTCCTCTTTTCCAAGTTTAAAAAAGGGCTGAAAACCCCGGCTTATACATAAGAATATACGGTGCGTAATATCAAACTGTATTATTTACAAAATGTAGATGTACCTTCAGCAGTTTGAGGAATGGCTTGGGGAGCTGAGTATGTTTAACCTGAGAAGATTGGGATATGATGGCTGTCTTTCATCCCTGATGACAGATCCCTTTCTAGGATGGCATTAAAAGTTCAGCCCTTGGAATTCTGTCCTTGCTTCAACTTAACCCCTTCCTGGGTTGACTATTTGGATGGATTATATATGGACTGGTGGCTCTGGAGTTGTGTTAAGTTCACTATATTTAGCATGATAACCCTAAGGCACCCTCTGAATAAATCTTGCAAAGGAAACACCATGATTGAGCTGCCTTGGCATTGGCACAAGTCAGAAATGGCTTGAAAACAGACAACAACAAAAGAAGGAGAAGCCACATTCAGAGATACAGTCTTCACCTTTTGCAGACTCACTTACCTTGCTGCCTTTCTGCAGAATGAACAGATTATTTGAGATCCTATAGTTCTTCTCGCACTATATGATGCAATGGGACAGGCGATATCTTTCCTTACAATGTTCCATGGATTGGCACTAAATTGATGTCCCTTGGGTGCAGGTGTTCCTTTCTTGATGTGCAGGCAATGGCTGAGGAAGCGGCACTGGCCTTAGGACCATCCTCTTGAGGAACATT